TTAAACTTTTTTATTCTATTTGAAGATGCAATTGGTAAATCTTGATATATAAAGCTTAGTTCTCAGAATTCAGAGCGCCCAGATCTTGGAAATGTACGTGTAGTGGTCACTGGGGGGCGAGCATTGAAAAGCGCTAAGAATTTTAAAATGATAGAGAAGCTTGCTGAGAAACTTGGTGCTGCAGGTTTTTCTCTATAATATTATGTCCCTAGATTTGTTAATTTTCTCTCTTTTTTTTTTTTTCATTGCTAATTTTTTGTTTTCTAGGAAAGTCATCCCCAATTGTTGACATACTTTCAAAAAAAAAATTTTTTGAAACTCTAAATGCTATCGTGACTCGCGATAATTTTCATTCAAGATGCTCTAGCATGGTTTTAATTTCTTAACCTTCCTTCTTTTGTGTCACTATTACATTTTGTTTTTGGTATTGTAGTTATAGTATTATATAATTTTCACTAATTCCTATCTTTTTCACAGTTGAGGCCACTCTTGCGGCTGTTGATGCAAGATTTGTTTCTGATGACCTCTAGGTAACAACTATTGTGGTTTTTTCTAAATTTAAATGATTCGTATGACTTTGGTATTACTCTACAGTATTCTTTTCAAATGATTTGGATATCTTACCAAAAGCTAGATCAAATTTGACTGATGACATGCAAAATTGTTAGGTTCGTAGATTTGTGATTTATTCCCTGTTTAATTGAAACATTTCATTCAAGACTAACAATCAGATTTTGAATGTTTTCAATTTGTGCCACTTACAGTTTTGTTCTATTCAACTCAACTCGACAAGCCTTTTGTTTGTTTGTTTGTTTGGGGAAGCATAATCGATGGTAAAACCAAAAGCTAAGATTTGGAGGTGTATAGAAATTCTCAGTTTTTTTAAAGCTAATTGTTAAGTTGGCTTTAGGTTAAATTGGGGGGAGTTATATAAGGATAAGTGTTCGAATCTACAAGAAAAATATCATAACTTAAAAGGTCTTTTGGATATTGTTTGTTAATCGGGTTTCTACGTACATAAATAATAATTGTTGCAGAAGCCAAAGAGAAACTAAACCATACTCCTGATGGTAGTGACTTTTTGATGTTAGAAATCTGATAGAAGTGGGTTAAATAGTAGCCATCACACCCACGAGGACATATGCTTGAAGTCTCATATGTAGGTTAAAGAAATTTATTCTAATATGAAGCTCATGACATTTCCAAGGATTCTAGGCCTTGTCAAAGAAAGTTATTCTAGAGTAATGAAATTAAAGTACCAATGACATTTGAAGATGATATTCATTTGGCATTGGGCTCTGCCCAAACAAGTTTTAAAATTACATATCTATCCCAGTATATATGTTTGGTTATATCATCAAAAGTTGACTTTAATGAGAACATTCTTGAACAAGAATCAGGAATAAGTCAAATTTTCCAACTAGTGTAATTATAAATAGAGAATTATGGAATTACATATTGAGGAAAATATCACAACATAAAAGGTTTGCTAATGCAACTGTAAGAGTAAATTATGCATTGTGACATTGTGTCCCAATTGAAACCTACATGGTGGCTAGTCTTGTCGCTTGAATTTTTCAGGATGCATTCCACAGAGTATTGGTGCTGACATGCTTCATTCTGCTATTGGTAGACTATATTTTTGAACTTACTCTATCAATTCAGTCTGACCATTCTGTACCACTTGCTTGGTTTGATGATTATTCTCTTTCATGCTCAAGTTGTTCTATGTAATTGCTATCTTTAGAATTGTACATCAGTTTCCACTCTATTATAACATTTATTTCATGTTTTTGGTTACCAAGAGAAATTGATTTCCCTTTTCTATCCACTAGTGGGATAGATATGAAGGCATTTTTTACTATTCCTCTGTTACATTGTTTTACCATTGTTGAGATATGGCATAAAAGTTTCGTGATTTGTGTCATGTGCAGTTATTTTTTTGAGCTTCTGGGCAGAGGTACTCTCTGTTTTTGTAATGAAATAAGATTTTTAGTCTATGGCTATTAATCATGTATATGAAATTTAGGTTATGTATGCATTTGTATGCATATGATTACCAAAGTTGTTGCTTTTAAAGTTAATCTTAACTAGTTCTTAATATCTCATGTCTCACTGGGTTCTTTCAGGATACATGGGAGGAGTTAGATCTGGATGAGCTATCATATGAGGTAAATTTGTCTATTGAATCTGACTTTTGGTTGAAGCATTATTATAGTTTGCTAATGGAGTTTGGTTTGATATTTTAGGAGCTGCTTGCATTGGGGGAAGTAGTTAGAACTGAAAGCAGAGGGCTTTCTTTTGATACAATTGCCTCTTTACCTTCAGTGAATTATAAGACATAAAGCACTTGGAATGGAAACAATGATTTGTGAGTGCAGTTTTTAGATTATTATAATTATTATGGTTTGTGTGGATAACATTTGTCTTCATGTATCAGGTTTGTTATCTACCGGTTGGACTACGAGGATGGTGACACCTTGACTGTAATTTCCTGCAAACGCTTGTCTTTGCTTTCCTCTGTATCATATTTGCTTTTCGGCTGATGGTTATAGGGTAAAAAATTAGCAGTCTGCTCTGCTGCAACTAAAAGTTCTGTCGTGTGCTCTGCCTTGAGAACCTTATTGGAATTGTAAGTCCCACTCAGAAATTTTTTATTTATTTTTAATTATATAAGATAGAGTAACCTATTTAATGTTGTCTTCATGTTTCAGGAGCGCTTCAAAAGTCTTGATTGCTTCCTTGCAGGTAAGTGATCAGTTTCAAGAAGAGATTTTTCTTTACTTATTTTGTCTGTATAATGTGTCAGGCATTTGTTGACAATGCAGATACCTACTCATCAATCTGCTTGTATTTCCTCCTAAAATATGCATTGACATTTGTGTCATAGATGATATATGCTTTCTTCATTTGTGTGATCTATGATGTCAACATTTTGTGTTGTTTCCTTTCTATTGGAAGTTGAATCAATTGAGTTGGCCAATCTGTATATTTCAGAATGCTCTGTTCAATTTGTAGGGTTATGCAAGTAGTTGATCCCTTTTCATCCATCAGTGATTTCTAATTATTCTTTGCTCGTTATTTGAGATTTTGTCACTTATAATTCAGATCTCCTTATGCTCATAATTTATTATCATTCTTGATCAAGCTTTCATTTCCATATATATTAAACATAAATTTGCATTTATCTAGAAATTCATTTCACATGCAAATTAGGATAGAATTTGGATCTTTGAGTTCCATTCTAATGACCTTGCCAAGGACACATGCTATGTCCTTCACAAATGAACACGCTTGACAAATCTCTGATGTTCTTTGTTAGGCACATGCAAAAGAAGGAAGACATATCATATGTGAATATTTTTCTAAACATGCTAATGAAAAGATAGTTTAGTGTGATATGTGTGGGGTTAAGGGGACTGAGGACAAGTGAAAGCTCAAATGACAAGTTGAGGCAATAAGAATAGTATTCTTTTAGAAGTAGCAAGGATTACATGTTGACCCAAGTAACTGTGAGTAAGCTTCATAGAGTTTTGGGATATATTATACTTTAGTTCATTAATGTTTTGGTTTCTTGAAGTTTTTTTTTTTGTTATTGATGCAATTTTTAATACTGATTGGTCAATAATATAGAATTCCCACACAGGATACTGACCTTTAATGAAGTTTTAAAGTGGAATCAATTTATTCCAAGTATTGAGTAATACTTCTTCACTTTATCAACATTTCCACACAGTAAGTATTTTTCTGCATATTTCTTGGGAGTAATTACCAAGACAAGTTAAAGAAAGTTTCTAGCTATGTCCAACACTTGGTCCAACTCTTGGATGCTTACCTAGCGAGTTCCTATATGATATTAGCAACTTATGTTATTATTTAGAGTTTTCTATGCTAGACATTGCAATGAAGGTTCTGCATACTAGGGTTAACTATGCTTTGGACAATTCTTTATGCATTACTTGGAGAAAGTAGCATATGTTTTAGGGTGTATAACTTAGCTTTAATAAGCATGGGCCCTATACAGCAGAATTTAATGCCACTAAGTAATGTATGTCTAGGCAATTCAGGATTCTGGACAAGGCAGACCATGTGTAGATGTAACCTGTGTTTTTAGAGGCGAGCCTAAGCGCTAAGCGAGGCGAGGCGAGGCTTCAGCACTTCATGTGTGCTGAGGCCAAGCGAAATGGTGAGGCGATGGAGAAGCGCCTGAAGCGAGCCTTAGGCGATGAAGCGTGAAGCGTAAAGAAGCGACGCTTCATCGTATTTTTGCCTGATTTAAGTTCAAGTCATCTGGGCCCTTGATCGACTTCGTTAAAATGATCTGGGCCCTTGATCGACAAAGTTAATTACTAAATAAGAAGCCAAACCCTAGATCGACTAGGTTCGTCGATCGTCTGCCGAAGTCGAATCGAATCATCTGGTCTTCTTCTGCCGAAGCCGAATCTTCTGGGTCTGCTTCTTCCTTCTTCGGACGTCGTTCCGAGGTGAGTTGCTTCTTCTACCTTCTTCTTTCTTTCTTTCTTTCTTCTTCTTCTTCTTCCTTTCTCCTTTGTTCACTGTTCTTCTTTATTCGACTTCACCTGCTGTTCTTCCTGGTTAATTTTCTTCTTTGTTCGAATCAATTTTTTTTTAAAATTAATTTTTAATTCTCAAAAATTAATTTTTAATTCGCAAAAATTAAATTTTAAAATTAATTCAATTATTTTAAAATTAATTTTTTTTCAATTAATTCAATTATTTTTTTTCAATTAATTCAATTATTTTTTTTCTTCTGTGTTAAAATTTCAATTAATTTAATTAATTTCCTGGTTATTCAATTAATTATTTTAATTCAATTAATTTGTTTAATTCAATTAATTTGTTTATTTTAATTCAATTAATTTCCTAGTTATTTTAATTTCCTGGTTATTCAATTAATTTGGTGGATTGTATTTGTCTTTGTTGGATATTTTCTTTTGTTTATGTATATTTAGTATTTGGAATGATAACTGCATGATGGTTCTTGAAAATATTTATATTTTTGTCTATACCATTTATTTAAAAAAAATATCATTTCTGGTCGCCTCGCTTCAATGAAGCCCTCGCCTCACCTCCTCGCCTCGCGCTTAGGCGTTAGGTGACCTTGTCGCCTCGGTTCGCTTTTCGCCTTAAAAAACACTGGATGTAACCTTTCTGGCGTTTTTAGTACGAAGTACCACCATTAATTTGAACACACATTTGCTCAATTGAGCATGAGCTTCTACCATTGCAGCAAGCATTTGTATTGCTAACAGTTCATTAACTATGACCATAAGCAAAATAGTCAATGGATTGCTTTTGTATCTTGCAGAATCTATGCAGATCAAAAATGTCTTGCAGAATCTAAAGAAAGGAATAAAGTTTTAAAAAGCATGAAACCCTTGTGAAGGATTATTGTTGTTTATAAAATCTTAAGGTAGACAAGTAGGGGACAACCAAAAGAATAAAAAAGGGAAACTTGCAAGGCAGGTTTGTTTTGCAACTAATAATTTATGGGTTACTTACACTACTTATCACAAAACAAAAAGTATGGGTAACACTAAATACCCTTATAATTTGAGCGTTGTTTCAATTTTATTTATGCAGTTTCAGTTGCAACACATTGGATCCTAATTTTTCAAATAATTCTAGTGGGTCCAACTGTCAATCTTTGCTAGAGATTTTGACGGGTTAAGGACTTATGACTAGCACATGGCCTTATATCCACCATGATATGTGGTACCCTCCGGTTGTGCCATATCATCACATCATGGCTTCCTCAACAATGCCACATGCCACTTCCGGCTAATGGACTAGTGGACCAATCACCAAGTTGAGCGTTTCAAATCATGCTCAACCTTACCCAAGCTTGGGATTGTCTAGCTCGATCACTTGGTTCACTAGCAACCACACCAAGCAAGTCAGACCCCCTCATGCTAATGCTAGCCATCAACCTGCTCAATTGCCAAGCTCGCCAACAACCCCACCAAGTTAGATCTTCATCTTGAAGACAATTCCACTATTATCTGGGCTGGGAACAGAGCCTGTGAATCACGCTTGAAACCATTAGAGGACTTGGATTGGAGGCTAGAATTCAAGGTTTGTTTTGGTGCTCACCGAGCTTCATCTTGAATGTGTCAGGGAGTGTCAAACAACTGTTGGTGTCAAACATGAACATAATATCTTCTTACAAGTTGGTGTTTCTTAGATTACATTGTGTTTCCTTTCATCACTCTATTTCTCTGTCCAGTCTTCACCTCTTCTCTCTATTTGTTTCTTGCTTTTCCTTATTTTCTCTCTCCTCTCCCTTAAGCTCAATTCCACTATTGCCACCACCACTGCCACCATTAGCGACAAGCTCAATTCCACTATCTTTTATTTTATAGCCAAAAGTATTGTTTACACGTTGAACTCATAGCAAGTGGTGAGGGCTTTTTTTCCTCTTACTTTCAAAGAAGTAACATTTGCAGTTCAATTTTCTGTGTGTAGGTGATGATGTGAAAGAAAAGAAGCCTGATCCTTCAATATATTTGACAGCTGCCAAGGTAATCCACGTAGTGTGATACATACTCTGTATTTTGTGCATGTACATGCAAGCTAATAATTTTCAATTATGAGTTTGTCATATGATTAAGAAATGTTATACCTTGCAGAAGCTAGGCCTGTCAGCGAAAGAACGTTTGGTGGTGGAAGATTCTGTCATTGGGCTACAGGTCAATCTCTTTGCTTGTGATAATTGCTTAAAACCTTAATTTTAAGGTCAAAGAGTTTTAAGACCACATTGTGAACAATTGAAGAAACTGGAATTTATTCTGTAAATCATCTTCACGTCATGAAATTCTGGTAAGAATAGCAACTCAATTGTATATTATAAATTTTTTTGCTTTAACTGTTACAGTGTCTTGTCATGGTCATGCCATCTGTTACGTGTTTGGCAATTGAATCTTGAAAAAGAAAATATATCTTCTGTCCCAATATTTATCTTATCACTTCCGTCAGATATTCTTTTTGTGTCCATATTAGCCACGGGCAGCTTTGCTTGTTTTTTTCAATAAATCAACCATTAGAATCTGCAGCATGGGTGCTAATGTTCGGACTGACTAATTTAATCTCACCTATGCAGGCTGTGACAAGTGCTGGGATGTCATGTGTTATTACTTACACATCATCGACAAGTAACCAGGTAATGTCTCTCTCTCACTGCATTGGGAATAACTGGGCATTATAGTTAAATGTTGCTTGCAACCAATAGCAGGAATCGTGGAATGATATGACTTTGTTAATTTATATGGGATTTTAAAGATGCAATAGCAATCTACCCCGACTTGAGTAACGTTAGGTAAAGTAGCCATTCGCGTTCAACATATGGATATTTAGTTTTATTTATCCCAATCATAACCGATTGTCTATATACTCCCTGCAGATTAAAAGATTTAGAGTCGTTGCTTGAGAATGTTGTCGCAGCCACTTAGAGAATCTGTTTATCAAAAAAATTCTGGTGGGTTGTTGAGCATTGGTTGCAGGTATCTTTGTGCCTTTGGCATCACACTCTGGTCACCACATTATTTAATGCCAGAAGAAATATTTTTGTCGTTGAGTCGTTGGTTTTTGTACTTATGTGAAGTTTCCTCTGTTATGCAGACAAGAAATGCAACAGGGTTAGTTGCTCCGGCTATTGTTGCGGGTTTAGGTGCGTTAACACATACATTGGGCACTCTCATCCCTGTGATAGGAGCAAGTGGATTTACTACAACTGCAACTGTTATAGAACTATTGTCGGTAGTTTTAGATAATCTCTTAATAGTTGTCGATATGTTTAGAAAGTTAGATATGCATAGTTTTGGATGGTTTAAACTTTTTGTACAGTTTAGAACTGAAGGGTATAGTTTTCGAATGTTTGGAATGTATAGACAATTGTTGAATGTTTATAATTTATGGATATAGTTTCTTTTTGATGTTTTAAATAATATTTTGGTGGTTGATTGATGTTTTGTGATGCTTGTTTGTAATATTTGTTAGATTGTACAAAATTGATCAAATGGAATCTGTTGAATTTATAAATAAATAATAATAAAAAAATTACATAATCTACGGCAGACATAATAAGTTGTTGTATTACATATTTTACGACATGCAATTAGCGTCGTTATTTGTCTCACCAATTAACGGCGTGCAAAAGTAGTTGCAGAAAAAGTAACAACGATGCACAAAATTTGTCGTTAAATAATTTTTAACGGCGTACAATAGAATGTCGTAGAAAAAGTAATAACGACGCATAAAATTTGCCGTTAAATGGTTTTTAACGGTGTACGAAGTATGTCGTTAAAAGTGAATGACTTTCCATAACTGGTCATAATATACGTGTGTTGCACGTCGTAGAAGGGTTTTTACAATGTGCATTGCGCGTTGTAAAAGCTGTAAAAACCCTTTTTTGTTGTAGTGTCCTAAGATAACACAAAATATTCTACTTCAATTAATGCACAAATTACTTAAAATGGAAAGTTTTTCACTTCGGACACAAAGCATTTAGTTCCTAAGATAACACAGGTTTCTGAGCACGAAAACGACCAGCTCAATGAAAATCACCTATATGGCTTGGAACATAGTCAAAATGTTCTAAAACACATTTGTCCACATGAGTAATATATCATTATGTGTAATAAAAGCTTATACATGGAGAATAGAGAAGAAATTCTATATGTCTGTATTAATACCAGATGAAACCAACCACTATTGCCAACTAAAGCAAACTATCCAAAAGCATTAACTCAAGGCTACAACACATGCATTCCAGCTCATTCCAACCTGAAGAAATTCTGTGTCTATACAACACATGTCTATTTCAAAGTGTGTTTTCATACCATCAATTTTCATACAATAAAATTAAGCAAAACCCAAATGGAATTAGATTGTATACATCATAAAAACTCTACCACATACTACCTCTGTACTAAATCAACTCAAAATCACAATCATATCAAATACACAATCTACAATTATCCACCAATTTTCAACACCAAATCACATCATCTCTTAATAGATTTAGAAAAGTGAGAAATTAAAAATTAGTGATGTTAGTACTTTTACCTTGTTAGTTCTTCTCCTTTTTATTCTTCTTCTTCTTTTTCTTTGAAAGGTGAACCTATATTTAATAAGGGCAAGTATTGTAATTAATAAGATATTGTATTTGTCAACTGGGCTAGGCAGCTTTTCTGATGGAATGAATACATGCAGTCAACATCAAAATAATAATCGATCACTGGACATTCTTATTTTGCTGAACTTATCAGCAATTGTTCAAAATTGCAAGTCAAGCTGCCGTAGTGGTAAGAGTGACTAAATTTTGAGTCTCTTTTATAAAAGTTATTGGCTTCATATTTCTCTCTCTATATCTCCTTCTTGTTTGGTAGTTGAGATATAAAATTTGAGTCTTTTTTTATAGAAGTATTCTTTTCTCTGCAATTGATAGAGATAGTACTTCTAATGATTCATCTCTCCCTTTCCATTTCTCTTTTGGCCATCTTAATGGAAATTGGTCAGGCATGATGAAAACATTAGAGATTAAATAGTGATAAGAAGAAATACGCGTAAAGCTTGTAAAATCAAGTAATTCTCATGTCATAGATACAACACCAACTCTATGAGTAAATTCCATACCCAAAATGATTGAAAAAATAGTGCTATTCTAACCTAAAAGTTAGTCACTTCTCAAATCCAATGACGTCGCAAACTAGTAAATATCTAGATAAGGAGAAATACGTGTAAAGCTTGTAAAATCAAGTAATTCTCATGTCATAGATACAACACCAACTCTATGAGTAAATTCCATACCCAAAATGATTGAAAAAATAGTGCTACTCTAACCTAAAAGTTAGTCACTTCTCAAATCCAATGATGTGGCAAACTAGTAAATATCTAAGATAACTATCTCTCTCTCTCTCTCTCTCTCTCCTCTTTTCTTTAATCATCATCCAATCATCTCTTTTACACATTAGTGGGTTTAGAAAGTGATTCTATATCATTTTCCTCGAAAAAATTAACTATTTTTTTTTCCCCGCGGAATATGGTTCAACGATGCTATTTTTCAACAACTTGATGTGCAATATAGAAACAACTGCAAATTTGTTAGTACACCACAAGAAATCAACTTTTTAGAGACAAATTTATTCCGTCCTTAAAAGTGTAATATTTGTTGGAAAAAACTTTAGCCAACTAATTTTCTCAGTCGCGAAGTTTGTCCCAAATGGCCTTTCTGAAAAAGTCAAAAAATAACTTTTAGAGACAAAATTTTGCATTTGTCACTATAAATAGACTTGTAGGGACAAAAAAAATGTGATTGCTAAAAGTTTTGATTATGAGACAACCAAAATTTGTCTCTAAAAGTCTAATTACAATCCAGAGCAAACGAAGTAGTTATGGAGACAAAAAAAATTAATTTTTGAGACAACAAAAATTGGTCTCTAAAAATTTTAGTTTTGGGGACAAATGAAAATGGTCTCTAAAAGTTTCAGTTTTTGGGACAAATGAAAATGGTGTGTAAAGGTTATAATTTTTTTGAAACAACTAAAATTGGTCTCTAAAAGTTTGATATTATTATTATTTTATTTTTTTATTTTATTTTTTTTGGTAACAATTCCTCTAAAAATACTAGTTTGAACATCAACTTATATTCTTTTCTTGATTTCTTAACAACCAAACAGAAAATATCAAACATATCACCAAACCATCTGTTCATCTCCAAATTAAAATTCAATTACACCAAAAAAATTAAAATAAAATGTTCATCACATTCAAAGAGGCTTAATCAAAAATATTTCAATAACAAACAAATATCATGCTCTGATTCATTAGTATGTAATACATTGATTGTATATCATAAACGGACAGAGATTTCAAAAGTATCATTTACAATTTATAAGGCTAGTGCCATAAACATTGTTTGTAATATTCAACTATTCAATGAACAGATTGTAATTGGAGTTATATCTAGCTACATAACAAAACAACTCAACTCATCACATCTTCTTTTCAAGGGCTTCGTTGAAATGACATTCAAAATCTAGCAAAGAGCTCCCAAGCTTCAAATCGATGCAAGCTTGCAGAACCTGCATAAAATAGGCCATACTCTCAAATAGATTACCAATGAAAAATTATCCAATGATAGATTAATTTAATAGATTGCAATTTAATGTGCCAATTGTAGTATCTGCAGCAATCACACATAAATCTTAGTACACAAAGCCGCCCAAAATTCACTATCAATATTCAAGAGTTAACAAAGATTAAACTAAAATCAAACCTTGTGTTAGGCACAAAAAAGCAATTACTAACAATTAATCATTTAACCACTCTTCTTACCGAAAAAACAAAAAGCCCCATCACTCCTTCAAACTCACTGTTTTTCTTTTGATATAAATCATATTCATTTATATGAGTTTAAATTTGCACTTTACATCACTGAACTGGGACAAAGTTCAAAGCTCCAACCTCTCTATTTTTTGGGGTAAATCAAAGACGCAAATTAAAGGAAGCAAAAAAAAAACTTCATTGGAAAAACAAAAACTAGCTAGGGATTTGGAATATTGTGAGGAGCAGAGAGTGAGATATATATGAAAAAAATAAAAAATAAAATAACAATGTTTTCTTGAATCTAGGAACCTGACAATTCAATACAATACATTACGCAATACCATATAAGATGGAACAGGTAGATCATTTTCATATGGAAAATGCTATTCCACCAAAATTCGTGAACAAAATTTTATACCAAAAATGACGTAATAGTTTTATTTTGGTAATTATAGTAAAAGTATGAGTCCTCAAACGAAGTCTGACATTGAGGAAATGAGAAATGTCTCGTATGCTCAGGCAATAGGCAGCCTAATGTATGCTATGACAAGCACAAGACCTGACATCTGTCATGCAGCCGGATTGGTAAGTCGGTTTCAATCAAATCCAGGTAAGGAACATTGACAAGCAGTCAAAAGAATATTCAGATTTTAAAAGGCACTAAGAATTTGAAATTATGTTTTGGTTTGTGTGATCTAGATATAAAAGGATACACTAACGCGGATTTTGCAGGAGATGTAGATGACAGAAAAGCTACTAGTGGTCATGTGTTCTTGTTTGGTGGAACAATAGTTTCTTGGTTAAGTAAGAAACAGAGTTGTGTTGCAAAGTACACTATGGAAGCTGAATACGTAGCTTGCAGCACAGCTGTGATTAATGCGGTCTAGATAAATAAAACATTTTGTTAACAGTTTACATTTAAGTATACCTGCCAGACCGGTCAATATGTTTTGTGACAATCAGTCCGCCATCTCATTAATAAAAAGTGGAGCAAATAGCTTTGAGGGAAAACATATTGATGTAAGTTACCACTATATTCAGGACATAATGGAGAGAGGTGAAATTAAAGTCAATTATATACCCTTAGAAGAGATGGTGGCTGACCCTATGACCAAAGGGTTGTCTTTGGAAAAATTCAGAGAACATATAGCTAATATAGGATTGAAAAATGACTAGTTAGGTGGTTTGGCAACTTATATAAGAGCATAGTTGGATGACTCTGGGGACGCCTATGACTCTGGGGACACCTAGATAACCGATATTTTGCGACTCTATCTTGCTTGGAAACATGTGTTTGGTCAAGTAACAAAATAGAGGAACTGACAAGGTACGGATATTATAGTTAGCATGAAATGTAAAGTCCATAATATGCAACGTGCTAACTAGATGATATTGTCTGCTTGATCGGCAAAAATTCATTGATAAGATGTGTTAAGGAAAACCTTCAGGAATGGGTCTTAAAGGAAGTACTTAACAATAATTTCAGTGCAGGTCGGCACATGAAAAATGTGTGGTTAAAGTCGTCAATGGTGATTGGGTATGGACTATGAACCCATCACTGAAAATTGATGCCGTTCACTTGAAATATAGTGAATTAAAGTCATCTGGAGTGTGTTGTCAGCAGGAGTACACATTCGTACAGGTGCGGTCAGATTGATGGCGAAAACGTGCGCACGTATAGCCAAGTCACAATCAAACGTCGATCTATGAGGTAATTTCATAGATGAAAGTTGGCATGAGGCAAAATTTTGGTACCAAGGTAAACATGTTCAATTCAGGTTTTATCACCAATATTATAATGTGATCAAATGGGAAATGAAGGTATGAGATGTGATCACACCATAATATGGTGGATCTTCTCACACTGAATCAAATCTTTATATAGTGATACAGTCTTCCCGCAGGAAGAAGCAACTGGAAGTTAGAAGTTTGAAGTTTAAATGAAGAGACACAACGTTTGGATATATGGTGACTATTGAGTTTGATTTCAATGGTTATAACGGTTGATCAACAACCACCATATATACTATAAATATACGGAAAGAACATGGGTTCTATTTACTCGATTTTCTCTCTGTTTTTTTCTCTTCTAGATTGTATTCTTCTGCGTGATTAAACACCCTCACGGGAACTCGAACCATTGCCATTGTTAAGATTATCTTACAGGCTGTTCGTCTATTCTTGTTGAGGAGCTATGGGCCATCGACCAAGGATTACATATGACGTGGGCTCACGAACACCGCAATGTTATCATTGAAACGGATTCTGCCGAAGCGATTCATTCTATTCAACAAAGTAACATTGCCCACCACAACATCAATCTCTGTCAGGAGACTAGGGAACTATTGACAAAGGATTGGCAGTGTGAGCTATAGCAGATTTGGCATAAAGCGAATGTATGTGCAGACCTTATTGCGAAGAATGCTTTAAATCTACAAGGCTTGCATGAAGCTATGCTAGATGGCCCGCTTTGGTTGACAGTGGTTTTGGAGAGTGATAAACAGGGTTTGTTCCTCCAGGGTTACTAGGATGTAGTCTTTGTTTCTTTGGCTTTGGCCCAATTATTACCACAAAAAGGGGTTTGTTCCTCTAGGGTTATTAGGGTGTAGTCTTTGTTTCTTTGGCTTCGGCCCGATTATTACCACCAAACAAAAAAAAAAAGATAAATTATAAATACACCCCTTGAGATTTGCTTAAAATATGAATTCTCCCTTATGATTTGAAAAATTACAAATACCTTACTGTCAAAATTTTTTATTTAACAGAATTGATTAAAAAAATGAAATTTCTAGTTGTTCACCTATACAATAATAAAATTATCTAAATTATTAATTGAAATAAAATTTTAACATTATTAAAAACTGTTAATTAACTTGATGATTTATTAATAAAATGACCTATTTGTTATAAAATTAAAAACTTCAAGAGACATAATGTAATTTTTAGAACCATGGAGAGCAATTTATAATTTAAGTACATCTCGAGGTGTTTGTAATTTATCCCAAAAAAAAATAAAAAAATAAAAAAATAAAAACGAACAAACAAACAAACCACAAGTACCCACAAAAACAAAAACAAAAAAAAGAAAAGAAAAGAAAAGAAAAAGGAATAAATAACAATTAAACCTTCATTTGTAGTAAATTACAGGCATATTAGAATTCACATCCCATACACCTCCTTCCTTCGCATACTCCAAATATCTAGCTACTTCCGGCTTAGCCGTCGCTTTCTTCCTCCGGCGGCGCCTGTCGAATAATCCGAACCACGGGTGAATCTTACTAACCTTCTTCGCTTGCTTCGCCGGAAAATTCGCTGGAAAATTGAACTCCGGAGTCAATTTCGTCGACGATGAACCGAACAGCTTAGCTGGCAAGCTTGTGACTCTATTCAACTTCGCCTCTAAAAGACCGCCGGAGGACTCATCCACCAACCGCTCATATCCACCACCACCACCGCCACCGCCACGTGTGCTTAGAGCTCTAAACATGGCTTCAAAGATTTAAGAATGCCCTGAACTTGCAGTGCTAAAATGAAGGGGATTTAGTTATCACTTTGATGTATATATATATACAGGGTTTGATTTGGTCGTGTTTGGCATGCTGCTTGGTGATTCTTCTGAAGGTTTCACACGGCTCTTAGGCATGAATGCAGTAGGTAGTGTCGGTAGTGTGGGCCTTATTTGTTGTTTGACTTTGTTGTTTGACTTTCTTAGTCAGCAAAACCACCACGAGTTATCCTATTTTAGTATTATTTTTTTAAACAAAAAAATTAAATAATATAATATGTTTTTTAAAAAATAATTTTAATTTTAATTTAAAATAAAAATTAAAATTAAAATATAATTTTAATTATTTATTTTGATAATATTAATTCTATCGTTCGATAAAATTATTATTTGAATATTTATATATATATATATATTAATTTTAATTAAATTATTTGTGTATTTTATAATTATAATTTTATTTTACTACCTATATTTTAAAGGTGTTAAAAAAATCTTGCAATATATGATACGATACACGTACAATTCGTATCCTGATTTGACAACTGTGAAAGTATGGATAATTGTGCACAAATATGCAGTCGTGTTCAATCTTACTTATTTATACTATATGGTCAACTTTCTTATGGATCTTAACTTCATATTTGTATAGGTAATCAACCAAAATCAATTTTGTTACTCTCTCCAAACTCAAGTTGGTTAGTTCCTATCCCCCTTGAGTTTGCGGGGGCTGTTAAAATTCACCTACTACACACCTACCACTACCACCTACTACACATTCACCTACTACACACCTACCACTGCCACCTACTACACACTTCACCTACTCCACCTACTACTCCACTTACTACTCCACCTACTACATACCTACCTTCTTTAATCTTCTATATATAGGACTCATTGTAAACACAACATATATCAATCAATAATACAATTCTCTATTTCTCTTTATACATTAAATTTTCTACAGTCTCTAAAAGTTTGATATTATTATTATTATTATTTTTTTATTTTTATTTTTTGTAACAATTCCTCTAAAAATACTAGTTTGAACATCAACTTATATTCTTTTCTTGATTTCTCAACAACCAAACAGAAAATATCAAACATATCACCAGACCATCTGTTCATCTCCAAATTAAAATTCAATTACACCAAAAAAAATAAAATAAAATGCTCATCACATTCAAAGAGGCTTAATCAAAAATATTTCAATAACAAACAAATATCATGCTCTGATTCATTAGTATGTAATATATTGATTGTATTTCATAAACGGACAGAGATTTCAAAAGTATCATTTAAAATTTATAAGGCTAGTGCCATAAGCATTGTTTGTAATATTCAACTATTCAATGAACAGATTGTAATTGGAGTTATATCTAGCTACATAACAAAACAACTCAACTCATCACATCTTCTTTTCAAGGGCTTCGTTGAAATGGCATTCAAAATCTAGCAAAGAACTCCCAAGCTTCAAATCGATGCAAGCTTGCAGAACCTGCATAGAATAGGCCAAACTCTCAAATAGATTACCAATGAAAAATTATCCAATGATAGATTAATTTAATAGATTGCAATTTAATGTGCCAATTGTAGTATCTACAGCAATCACACATAAATCTTAGTACACAAAGCCACCCAAAATTCACTATCAATATTCAAGAGTTAACAAAGATTAAACTAAAATCAAACCTTGTGTTAGGCACAAAAAAGCCATTACTAACAATTAATCATTTAACCACTCTTCTTACCGAAAAAACAAAAAGCCCCATCACTCCTTCAAACTCACTGTTTTTCTTTTGATATAAATCAGATTCATTTTTATGAGTTTAAATTTGCACTTTACATCACTGAACTGGGACAAAGTTCAAAGCTCCAACCTCTCTATTTTGGGGGGTAAATCAAAGACGCAATTAAAGGAAGCAAAAAAAAAACTTCATTGGAAAAACAAAAACTAGCTAGGGATTTGGAATGTTGTGAGGAGCAGAGAGTGGGATATATATGAAAAAAATAAAAAATAAAATAACAATGTTTTCTTGAATCTAGGAACCTGACAATTCAATACAATACATTACGCAATACCATATAAGATGGAATAGGTAGATCATTTTCATATGGAAAATGCTATTCCACCAAAATTCGTGAACAAAATTTTATACCAAAAATGATGTGACAGTTTTATTTTGGTAATTATAGTAAAAGTATGAGTCCTCAAACTAAGTCTGACGTTGAGGAAATGAGAAATGTCTCGTATGCTCAGGCAATAGGCAGCCTAATGTATGCTATGACAAGCACAAGACCTGACATCTGTCATGCAGTCGGATTGGTAAGTCGGTTTCAATCAAATCCAGGTAAGGAACATTGACAAGCAGTCAAAAGAATATTCAGATTTTAAAAGGCACTAAGAATTTGAAATTATGTTTTGGTTTGTGTGATCTAGATATAAAAGGATACACTAACGCGGATTTTGCAGGAGATGTGGATGACAGAAAAGCTACTAGTGGTCATGTGTTCTTGTTTGGTGGAACAACAGTTTCTTGGTTAAGTAAGAAACAGAGTTGTGTTGCAAAGTACACTATGGAAGCTAAATACGTAGCTTGCAGCACAGCTGTGATTAATGCGGTCTGGATAAAACATTTTGTTAACAGTTTACAATTAAGTATACCTGCCAGACCGGTCAATATGTTTTGTGACAATCAGTCCGCCATCTCATTAATAAAAAGTGGAGCAAATAGCTTTGAGGGAAAACATATTGATGTAAGTTACCATTATATTCAAGACATAATGGAGAGAGGTGAAATTAAAGTCAATTATATACCCTCAGAAGAGATGGTGGTTGACCCTATGACCAAAGGGTTGTCTTTGGAAAAATTCAGAGAACATATAGCTAATATAGGATTGAAAAATGACTAGTTAGGTGGTTTGGCAACTTATATAAGAGCATAGTTGGATGACTCTGGGGACGCCTATGACTCTGGCGACACCTAGATAACCGATGTTTTGCGACTCTATCTTGCTTGGAAACATGTGTTTGGTCAAGTAACAAGATAGAGGAACTGACAAGGTACGGATATTATAGTTAGCATGAAATGTAAAGTCCATAATATGCAACGTGCTAACTAGATGATATTGTCTGCTTGATCGGCAAAAATTCATTGATAAGATGTGTTAAGGAAAACCTTCAGGAATGGGTCTTAAAGGAAGTACTTAACAATAATTTCAGTGCAGGTCGGCACATGAAAAATGTGTGGTTAAAGTCGTCAATGGTGATTGGGTATGGACTATGAACCCATCACTGAAAATTGATGCCGTTCACTTGAAATATAGTGAATTAAAGTCATCTAGAGTGTGTTGTCAGCAGGAGTACACATTCGTACAGGTGCGGTCAGATTGATGGCGAAAACGTGCGCACGTATGGCCAAGTCACAATCAAACGTCGATCTATGAGGTAATTTCATAGATGAAAGTTGGCATGAGGCAAAATTTTGGTACCAAGGTAAACATGTTCAATTCAGGTTTTATCACCAATATTATAATGTGATCAAATGGGAAATGAAGGTATGAGAGGTGATCACACCATAATATGGTGGATCTTCTCACACTGAATCAAATCTTTATATAGTGATACAGTCTTCCCGCAGGAAGAAGCAACTGGAAGTTAGAAGTTTGAAGTTTAAATGAAGAGACACAACGTTTGGATATATGGTGACTATTGAGTTTGATTTCAATGGTTATAACGGTTGATCAACAACCACCATATATACTATAAATATACGGAAAGAACATGGGTTCTATTTACTCGATTTTCTCTCTATTTTTTTCTCTTCTAGATTGTATTCTTCTGCGTGATTAAACACCCTCACGGGAACTCGAACCATTGCCATTGTTAAGATTATCTTACAGGCTGTTCGTCTATTCTTGTTGAGGAGCTATGGGCCATCGACCAAGGATTACATATGACGTGGGCTCACGAACACCGCAATGTTATCATTGAAACGGATTCTGCCGAAGCGATTCATTCTATTCAACAAAGTAACATTGCCCACCACAACATCAATCTCTGTCAGGAGACTAGGGAACTATTGACAAAGGATTGGCAGTGTGAGCTATAGCAGATTTGGCATAAAGCGAATGTATGTGCAGACCTTATTGCGAAGAATGCTTTAAGTCTACAAGGCTTGCATGAAGCTATGCTAGATGGCCCGCCTTGGTTGACAGTGGTTCTGGAGAGTGATAAACAGGGTTTGTTCCTCCAGGGTTACTAGGATGTAGTCTTTGTTTCTTTGGCTTTGGCCCAATTATTACCACAAAAAGGGGTTTGTTCCTCTAGGGTTATTAGGGTGTAGTCTTTGTTTCTTTGGCTTCGGCCCGATTATTACCACCAAACAAAAAAAAAGATAAATTATAAATACACCTCTTGAGATTTGTTTAAAATATGAATTCTCCCTTATGATTTGAAAAATTACAAATACCTTACTGTCAAAATTTTTTATTTAACAGAATTGATTAAAAAAATGAAATTTCTAATTGTTCACCTATACAATAATAAAATTATCTGAATTATTAATTGAAATAAAACTTTAACATTATTAAAAACTGTTTATTAACTTGATGATTTATTAATAAAATGACCTATTTGTTATGAAATTAAAAACCTCAAGAGACGTAATGTAATTTTTAAAACCATAAAGAGCAATTTATAATTTAAATATATCTCGAGGTGTTTGTAATTTACCCAAAAAAAAAAAAAAAAGGGGAACAAACAAACAAACCACAAGTACCCACAAAAACAAAAACAAAAAAAAGAAAAGAAAAGAAAAGAAAAAGGAATAAATAACAATTAAACCTTCATTTGTAGTAAATTACAGGCATATTAGAATTCACATCCCATACACCTCCTTCCTTCACATACTCCAAATATCTAGCTACTTCCGGCTTAGCCGTCGCTTTCTTCCTCCGGCGGCGCCTGTCGAACAATCCAAACCACGGGTGAATAACCTTCTTCGCTTGCTTCGCCGGAAAATTCGCTGGAAAATTGAACTCCGAAGTCAATTTCGTCGACGATGAACCAAACAGCTTAGCTGGCAAGCTTGTGACTCTATTCAACTTCGCCTCTAAAAGACCGCCGGAGGACTCATCCACCAACCGCTCATATCCACCACCACCACCGCCACCGCCACGTGTGCTTAGAGCTCTAAACATGGCTTCAAAGATTTAAGAATGCCCTGAACTTGCAGTGCTAAAATGAAGGGGATTTAGTTATCACTTTGATGTATATATATATACAGGGTTTGATTTGGTCGTGTTTGGCATGCTGCTTGGTGATTCTTCTGAAGGTTTCACACGGCTCTTAGGCATGAATGCAGCAGGTAGTGTCGGTAGTGTGGGCCTTATTTGTTGTTTGACTTTGTTGTTTGACTTTCTTAGTCAGCAAAACCACCACGAGTTATCCTATTTTAGTATTATTTTTTTAAAGTTTGACTCTTTTAGTCTGCAAAACCACCACGAGTTATCCTATTTTAGTATTATTTTTTTAAACAAAAAAATTAAATAATATAATATGTTTTTTAAAAAATAATTTTAATTATTTATTTTGATAATATTAATTCTATCGTTCTATAAAATTATTATTTGAATATTTATATATATATATATATTAATTTTAATTAAATTATTTGTGTATTTTATAATTTTAATTTTATTTTATTATAAAAGTGCAATTATCATATAATAATTTTGTATGATATATAATAAATTATAAAATAATAAAATAAATACTTATTTTGATATTAATAATAATATTTAAATTAGAAGAAGAATTTGTAATATAAAATTAAAAGTAATTCTAACTATTTAATTTTTTTTATATTTATTTAGAAAATAAAAATATGTAGAAATAGAAATTATATAAAATTTATTAAAAAAATTAAATGTAAATATGTTATAATTGGATTATCATATATATATATATATATATATATATGGGTGTTTTGAAAAGATAGTTAAAAGTTGATTTTTTTATTTATTTTTTTACTTTTTGGCTTTTTTTTTGTAAGAAATGAAGTAGGTTAAAAACTGGGAAGTGACTTTAACTCTCTTCCCAAAATAAGCCATAATCATAAGATTGTAAAATAAAAGGAAAATTAGTCTGAAAGAGATCCATAATATTATTTTTTGATGTTTAAGGTCCCTAAACCCACACTCATCTATCAAATCAGGGAATTTGACTCTCTCTCTCTCTCTCTTTCTTTCTGATCTTCATTCTATCCAAACCAAACCTTCTATCTTTGTGCACATTCCTCTCTCTGCTCCTTTCTCCTCTTTCGGTCTTTATTTCCGATGCCACCAAGCCATGGCAACTAGGGTCGCGAGAGTTGCTGACTTAGCATCGTCTCTGATCGGAATTGTGGGTCGTGGCTGCGTATCCAAAATTAGGTGGGTGTCATCTTTGTCGGAGGCCTCTCTAAAGCCCAATAAGAAGATCACCGATCGTCTCTTCGGCGTTATCGACGCCATCAACGACTGTAAACTCCCTTTGGAGCTTCATGGCGCCGTCAGGTATGTCAATTACCTCCCGTTTGCCTAAATCGAAACGCTTACTTTCTAATGCAAAACCCTAAATTCAAACAATCGTATAATAGTTCGACTTTCTTCAACCAATTGCAATTGCAATTGCAAGTTCATTTCTCTTTGCACTGTCATCGCAAACTTCGCATGTCTTCAAGCCTCCAAATCTTTCATGTAGCGGCAAAAAATCAATTGATTACTGCTTGCATTAGTCCAAGCCAAGAAGTTGTCGGTGGTGAAGATTTTAAAATAGCTTCGGTTGAAGATAAAGAAACAGAGGAGGTTGAGTCAAAAAGAGAAGAGTTCGTGGTGAATGACAGTATTTGGAATCAAATGGTAGAAATTATGAAGTACCAAAACATCAGAGAAATTCTCTAGGGAAGGTCAAAGAAATTTGGAAAGTCTGAAGAAATTCTCTGTGAAGTCGAATTTCTATCAATTGTTTGGGAAATTTCTATGATTTTCTCTGAATGAATTCAATAAATTTTTGTTATACTCATATGGGGGAGTTTGTTGCTTGTTTGATTTTTATTGAATGTTGCAGGTTGATTTGGAGAGTGGGAATCAAAGTTCGATTGCTTGGGTTGATGTTCATGGTAAGTGATTTTCCCCAAGACCTTTGTCGATGGTAGTAGAGAATTTGCAAACATTTCCAGAGATCTAAAGATTGAAGTCAAGAATGTGTCTTCTTTGAATCCGAATATTGAAATTTCAAATGTCACCGAGAACTTGGCCTAACAAGTTTTCTGGTTCTGAAGCTTATGAAATTGATATCTACTTGACTCTATTTTTGGTGTTTGAGTAATTCAATTTTCTTTGGTTTGAAATTTTCTCTGGTTGTTCAATTTTCTTTAGATTGAACTTTTCTCTAGTTGTTCAATTTTCTCTGGATTGAAATGTTCAATCTATGTTTATGCGCTCCAAGTGTTTGATTATTTCTCTTCAATCCCTCTCTTCTCATCCCCACCAAATTTTTCTAGTTTAAACCAGAGAAATTCTCTGGTCTGGATTGAATTTCTTTGGTCTGGACCACATAAATTCTCTGGTTTGAAAATCTATAGTTTGTTTGTATATATTTCATGATTTCAATGCTCACCAACCAAACCATGATATGCAATGGTTTGGTTTTGAGTAAATTTTAAACTCATTATGAGGTGTCGTTTGGGAAGTGGGTTGGCTTTTTGGCTTTTTGACTTCTTTAGCTATTTTAACCTGGGCTAAAAAACTTGGTTTGGGAAGCACTTTTTGGCTTTTTAACTTTTTTGACTTTTTTTTGTGAGAGAAGAGTGTAATGATTATGGGTTGAATGTGATATTTTGTTTGTTGTGGCTAAAATAACCTATTTTGTTTTTTGTGGCTATTTTAGCCCCAAACCAAGTTCCCAAACAATGCTGAAGGATTCTAACTTGTTTGCAATATATGTTAAAAGAGTTTAAATCCAGTGAAATTTCAATTTTCTCTGCCCCATTTGGAATTTTCTTTGTGATGTATCCAGAGAAATTCTCTGAATCGAATTTTTTCTGGATCGATGTTGAGGGACCTTAGACATTATGAAAATATTGGGTGTCCTTTATGCTATAAAATCTTAATACCATGGACCTTAAAAAAAATCCCCTAAAATAAACACTCTTAATTAAATTAAAATATCAACTATATAAAAGAAATTTAACAACTATCTAAAAAAAAATCATATAAAAACATCTAAACCCAAAAAGAATAAAATAATGAAAACATCCAAATGATAGATACATTTTAGTGTGTCAGATGATTAATCATCCGCAATATGATATCAAAACATAAGAGAATTTACTATTTAACAATTGAAAAAATAACTCTAGTAGTAAATCCAAACTTTTGAGATTTCTTAAGAGTATTATTGTTATGCAAGTATTTCTTCCTGTGAGTTGTGATTATATAAAACAATGTAGAAAATGAAGTATAATTTCATATATATAATTATTATAAAATTTAAATGATAAATTCATAATCTATAATTGATATTAAGTATAGAATAATGCACAGGAATATAAGAAGGGGAAAAAAAAGGCAATTTAGCATTAAAAAAAAATCCTTATACCCTAAAAAAAATTAAGAAGAAAAACGTAAAATGCAAAATTTGTATTGGGTTTGTAGATTATCTCAATTTATCATGAAAAATATATAGAAAAGAAATATTTGTCAAATAGAGTCAATACAGCAAAATTGGTATTGAATTTGTGGATTATCTAAATTTATGATAAAAAATATATGGAAAAGAAATATTTATCAAGTAGAGTCCATATGAAATAGGTAAAGTTAGTATAATCTAAATTAGGTTTGAATTTGTGTGAAACTCTATATGTAATTAAGAAAATACATGCTGACATGATTCTCTTAAAAAAAAAAAAAAAAAAAACCCTTATAATGTGCCACTAAGCATAAAAAAAAATTGCTCTTAATAATACATATATAAATATGATTACTCTATAATCTTTATATTTTGTTTCTTGTACAATTTTGATTATTGTAATTTTAATTAGTTTGATTTTGATTTTAAATTTAAAAAAAAATTACATGACATTATAAATTAATAATTATAATTATAATTTTTTCATAAATATGTAATAATTTTTAAAAGTTAGCCCTGATGAGTAATTTCCCTTAAATTTATGATTTTATCTAAATTTTTGGTCTAATTGATTATATCTAGTAGAATTTTGTAATGAAAAATACACACATAAGTGATTTGTATCAAACTTTAAGAAGAAAAATTATAAATTTATTCATCTTAGCGAGTTAATTTCAACTAATTCAGTAATCACTTTTTGTCAAAATCACTAACGATATTATCAATAAGACTAAATTGACATAAAATTTAAAATTAAAAGTCAAAATTTAACTAATTGAAAGTGTAGGGACTAATTTAAAATTTTCAATTTTTTTTTTTTTTTGCCATTGACCACTTCAAATAAGGACTAGATAGGCAGCTTTGCTAAACCAAGGGATGGAGGGATACATGGTTAAGCTAATAATCAGTAACAATGACGACGGGCAAGGCGAGGACAGGGAAAATGGGACAAGGGAAGTAAATAGAAACTAGAAGCATCTGTCACCCAATAATCAGTTTTTCAACTTATTTACTTTTTCTCATAAACAGTCTAATACAGATTCCCGAAATAACAAGAGATAGGCAGCTTAACAAGCTACTCCAAACAGGTCCGTAGTCCTTCAATCTGCTTTAACTTCGGCATGGCAAACAGACTGCATCTGCTTAGCTTACTGTTAACATTTAAGTTGTGTTTGAATCTTGAATTTGAAGAGAAATTTGTGGAGGGAATGAAAAAAGTGAATGAAATAGAAATTAATTTTGTCATTTTTTCCTTTATAGTTTTCCTGTTAATTTTATTCAAATTACATGCCTTAGGTCACACTTCTAAAAAAAAAAAACATGTTCCGAGCACAAAAACATAAATTGTATTTATTGACTTCTCAGAAGAAAATTTCATGAAGCTGTGCATGTTTAAATACAACCAACCACATGGTGTATTAGTTTAACAGGTTCATCGGTCAAAGGTGGCTGCCATAGTTTGAAAGAAGACAAGATCAGTTTTAAGTGCTGAAGTGCATGTATGATGTCAAAATATTGTACTGATATCAGTAAGTCAATTCCAGAATCAAGTGAAAGCTGATATGGAAAGCTGACCTTGATGACAAATGAAGTTTTGATGAAGCAAAATCAATGGTGGTGCTACTGTTTTCACCATGACCACC